ATGGAGCGCGTTTTTAATTTTCACAATAATGGACATTATGGAACGGGGGGCGGACGGGGCGCATAACGTAACGCCCTCCCCCCGCCGCGTAGCTCTGGCACCACAGGAACCTTTTTTGATTTTCCATGATGGCGGCCGTCATTGGCCCCGCCCCCCCCCATGACGTCACGTTCCGCGCCGGCGGCGTCCAAGAATGACTAAAGATGACCGGGGCCAACTAGGAGCAGCATGTGGGTGGCGACCTGCCCCGCAGCGCCTGTATACACCACAACGCTCGCGTGCACCAGCGCGCGTGTACACCACAGCGCCTGCGTACACCGCGACAACCGTGTGCAACGCAGCGCCTGTGTACACCACAATGTTTGCGTGTACCACAGAACCGCTGTACACCACGGCGAATGTGTACACCGCAGCAACCATGTGCAACACAGCGCTTCTGTACACCGTATACCACAATGCGTGCGTGCACCGCAGCGCTCGTGCACACAACAACGCCTGTGTACACCACAACATCCGCGTGCAGCGCAGCGCTGGTGTACACCACAATGCTTGAGGGCACAGGACACGCAGAAGGAGCATGTAGCTGAGGATCTGCTGCGGACAGCTAAACGCCACTCCAAAGAACTGCTGATAATAGAATGCGACGTTTTTCCCTCCTCCCTCCTCCTCCGCCCCCTTTTCCTCCTTTTCCTCCTCCTCTTCTTCCTCCTCTTCCTCCTCCTCCTCAATCACCTTTCCCCCCTCTCATGCGCTGCAGCGCACGTGCGCATGTCAGCGTGGGCCGCATAATGGTCTATGCAATCAAACCACTTGGTTCTCGGACGGCCAATTCAGCTGGAACCCCCTGGACGCAAATGGGAGGAGTTAGGGTGATGCAAAAGGACTCGGGAGGAGTTGTGAATTCCAGCGGCGCTCCATTTTCCAGGAGGGCTCCTTGCCGAATCCAATATGGAACCATTGTTGTCAGTGGGACCCATTGGCGATCCAATTTGTCATAACGATTCCATATGACATGCAATATGCAACATTGATGCTCTGTTCCACACGGCTGCATTGGAACACGCAGGCGCGCCGTACACAGACGATGTAGTACACGTATGCATTGTGGTGTACCCTCGTACTGGGTTGCGCACGGCTGATGTGATGTACGCAGGCGCTGTGGTGTATACGAGCGCTGTGGTGATCGCAGGCACTGTGACACACACTGGTGCTGTGGAGCGCGCGGCTGCTGTGGTGTATATGGGCGGTGCGGTGCACGCAGGCGCTGTGGTGCACGCGAGCACTGTGGTGCACACAGGCGCCATGGTGCAGATCGCAACCTACATGCTACTGCTACCCGTCCATGGTCGTTCCTGGGCATTCCCAGACGCCGCCGGCGCGAAACGTGACGTCATCGGCACCCTCCCCCCCCAGATGACGGCCGTCATCGGCCCGGAATAAAAAACAGGCTCCAGCCGCGCCTGCGCGCACGACGACGATGAGCGACAAGCGAGGAGCGACGAGCGGCAATGACGACGACCATGATGACGACGACAACGAAGACGAGGACGAGGACGACTGCGGACCAGAGTCCTGTGCGGATTGCTATGCGGACGCCTATGCGGAACCCGATGCGCACGACGGCAAAGCCCCGGGCGGGGCGCACTGTGGGGGGGGGGCGCTGGGGACTATAATGCCCATAATGCCCGAAGCAATGAAATAATAACGCTCGTAGAACCACATAGACCGCACCGCATATGCTGCCTTACATTGGCTGCGTCGCATACATTACACCGCCTGCACCCCAAACAGCACAAGGCACCATCTCTTTGGGGTCCACGCCGGCGAACATGCCGTTTTTTCTCCCTCGAGCTCCTGCCGCAAGCCTCGGCACCCCCGTCGCTCCTGAGCAGCACCGTGTGCTCGCCGCCTGCGGCCACCTGCGTGTAGGTCAGGTCTCCATCCAAAGCTGGAACGTCGCACTGCCCATGCTCGTTGGACCCGCAGGCCACGGCCGTCCCGTCGCTCCTGAGCAGCACCGTGTGCTCGCCGCCTGCGGCCACCTGCATGTAGGCCAGGCCTCCGCCCAGAGCTGGGACGTCGCACTGCCCGGACCCATTCCACCCGCAGGCCACGGCCGCCCCGTCGCTCCGGAGCAGCGCCGTGTGCTCGCCGCCCGCGGCCACCTGCGTGTACCTCAGGCCTCCGTCCAGCTCTGGAAGGCGGCACTGCCCGACGTCGTTCCACCCGCATGCCACGGCTAGGGGGCCACATGCGAACCCTACCCCTACCCCCCACGATTTCTGAGGGGGAGGGTGGGGTCTACTTCGCTCGGGAGCTCCCGAACGAAGTGAACCCCCCCCTCCCCCTCAGAAATCGTAGGGGGTAGGGGTAGGGTTCGCATGTGGCCCCCTAACGGCCGTCCCGTCGCTGCGAAGCAGGACGGTGCGCCGGCCACCCGCAGCGACCTGCGTGTAGGTCAGCCCACCGTCCAGGGCAGGAATGTCGCACCGGCCGTCGGCGTTCCAGCCGCAGGACGCGGCACGCCCGTCGCTCCGGAGCAGCGCGGTGTGCCACCCGCCCGCGGCGACCTGCGTGTATCGCAGGCCGCCGTCCAACGCTGGGAGCCTGCACTGCCCAGATGCGTTCCAGACTGGAGGCGACCGGGGCGTCTCAGCTGGTTGGGCCCCAGAAAAAGAAAGAGATGAAAGAGATGAAGGTAGATGAAGAAAGGACGGAGAAAGAGATGCAAGTAGATAAAGAGAACTATGATAATAGAAAGATAAATGAAGAGAAAACATCCAAGAACAAGAAAAGAAAGAGATGAAGGTAGATCCGCTCAACATCGGATCTGTTTTGAACGGCCCGGAGCCCGAACACGGCCACCAGAGACAGAAGAAGGCAAACCATCTTATCACCACCTTATCTTGAGCAGGAACCGCCCGTCCCGGCATTCCTATAGGCCTACCACGAAATCTTTTTAGAACCCAAAAATGCTCCACTAACGAAACAAGGATCTTAGAACATAAGCCGGGTGTGTGAAAACAGGACGGTCCCAGCCAGAAATTCGCCGGCCCAACAGGCCAGAGGCGTGCTAAGATCTCCGGTAACTGGTTAACAAGTCCCCGGACGAAAAGTACCCCGGGCGACTCGCGGCTGATCCCCGGGCGAAGTCACCAGAGCGCCCCATGAGCGCACCAACAGGGCTCCGAGACGTCCCCGAGAGCCCCAAGAAAGGCCAAGAGGCCCCCAAGAGGCCCCCAAGAGGCCCCCAAGATGGTACACGAGGGGTCCGACATGCCACAAGATCGCTCCAAGACGCCCAAGATAGCCCCCAAACGCCCCAAGAGGCCTCCAAGAGCACTCCCAAGAGGGCCCCCGGATGCAAAATTCATTGCTTTTCCTTAGGTGTTTGAGAGATTTTGGAGCTTCCACCTTTTCGGCTTCCCGACGCCCCAAGACGGCCCAAGAGGCCCCCAAGATCGCCCCAAGAGGGCCCAAGAGGCCCCCAAGAGGGCCCCAAGATGGCCCAAGAGGGCTCGAAGACGGCCCAAGAAGCCTCCAAGACGGTCCAAGAGGGCCCCAAGAACGCCCCCAAAGGGGCCCCAGAGAGGGAACACGAAACAACATTTCGAGCCCTCGGCCCTAAGAAGCCCCTACGAGGCCCCAAGAGGCCCCTAAGAGGCCCCAAGAGGCCCCCACGAGGCCCTCAGGAGGCCCCCAAGAGTCCCCCAAGCGGCCCCAGGAGGCCCCCCAAATGCCCCCCCGAGCGCCCCAGGAGTCCCCCAAGCGGCCCCAGGAACCCCCAAAGCGCCGCATTGACACCAGGCCCTCGGGCAAACGGCAGACATGAGACTGTATGGGCCGGCGGAATGAGCGAAGCGATTAAATATTCTAAACACATTTCGTAGAAACCACAAAAGGTACGTCAAAACGCTTCGCCACTGCTTGATTGTCGAACCCAGCACCTCGAATCTCGCCACTTCAGAAACCTTCGGGCTGCCCAGGGGAGCGTCCTTGCAGGCACCTCCGGGCTGCCCAGGAAACGTACTTTTGGGCTGCCCAGGGAAGCGTCAGACCCCCAGCCGGCTCCAAGTTCCAGCCGCAGGCCACGGCCGCCCCGTCGCTCCTGAGCAGCACCTGGGAGGCCAAGAGGTACCGACACCGCTACTATCCGGACCTCTCCCAGGGTGCGCTCTGACCAGAATGTCAAGGCGAGTCCAGCGGTGGCGAGGAGGGCCTCCCAGGAGATCCAAAAACGCGACAACGAGGCAAGGGTAGCAGAATCGGTCCTGAGATCCGACGTTGCAACAAAAATGCAACATCGCAGAAAATAACGTCCAAACCCCCGAACCTCATCTTCCTGCATCATTTTCCGAGCCGGATCGATCTGCGAAGGCCCCGGGGCCCGAAATTGAGCGAGAACGCCCGGCTCGGAAGAATTGGGCCGCCATGATCTCAGGGTGCGCTGCCCTCCTCTGAGCAGCACCGTGTGCCAGCCCACCGCGGCGGCCATCCCGAGGGGCGGGCTGCGGGCCGGCGGGGGAGGAGGGGGCCGCGGGCCCACGGCGGCGAGGGGCTAGGCCACAGCGAACACTCTCGGAGGGGCCGCCGCGGACGTGCCGATGGGGGAGGGGGCGAGCACGGGAGTGCGGCAGAGTTGCGCGGCGTCGGCACGCGCAGGCTTCTGACATCGCGTCGATCGTTCAGCCTTGATCCGATCGCGGCCCTGATCGTTCAGGGCTGCTTCCCGTCGTGTCCTGTGGCGTTGCCGTAGTTCCACCGTGTGGAGTTCATACTTGAGCGCTTTCGCCAGCGTCGCTGGCGCGCCATCACCGCATGAACCTACCCCACAGTCAGGACGCATCATAAGCATGCGCGGTAAGGGCGCAAAGGGCCCCCCAAAGAGCCCAAGAAACTCCCAAACATAGCCCAGGAGGCTCCCAAGAAAATCAGAAAAAAGGGCTCGTCGTCGTCGTCCTCGTCGTAGTCGTCCCAATTAAGGGTCGACGGTGCCAGCC